CTAATGTGACCTCTTGGCCGCGAGACAAGATTGAATTTTCAGAGCCGGCAGATAATCAGTATCCTCCTCCAGTCGCAGTATCCCTGCCAAGTTCACCATCTTTTCTATCTTCATACTGCACTCGCTCAAGTGAATCTCATCCACTGTTTGCAGTCTAATTGTTTTTTATGCAATCCTGTCTAATAGCCTTATCTGATCATTCTGTGGTCGCAGGAACATCTTCTACCCTTACATTTTACCTCATGTAAGTTTGGTGCTATAGGAATTCTGAGCTTAATCACTGTGGTTACGAGCAGCAACTAAAAGCCCAAAATATAAAATTTTAAATGTCAGAGTGAATTTTCAGAGCCACCAGGCAGCTAGCGAGGGGTGAGCAGCAGTTTTTCAAAAAGCCCCAGTGGATTGAGAAGTGGGTCGAGAGTTTAGACGTTTTTGCAGGAGTGGGGGTATTGCTTAAATATCCGCAGCTAAAGTAGGTCGCGGTTAACCTTGATAAATCTCTCGTATGACTAGAAGAAAGAAAGCCGCTTCTATGAAATGCTATGTGGTCATTTCTCTTCAGGAGACGAGAGGAAACAGTGTAGGGGGAGAACATTCATTCTGTGAGGTGTTGCAGTGATTTGACTGATTGTGCTTCTGTTCTTCTTTAGAGCAAATATTCATCTTGATGAGGTAAAGGACAGACGGTTGTTTCCTTTTATGGGAGATGATCAATTAACCATCACAAAAACTCTTTGGCTTATTGTTGGCAGTTTCTCACAAGTGGCCTCACAGTGATGCAGGTCTGCATTAACTCAATATGAAGTTTAAATAGATGTTTTTCTTTACCCCTGATCCCCATGAGCTGACCTTCCAAGGTGGTCTTACAAGAAGCCATTTTCAAATAACAAAACATTTTCCCTCTTTGCTTTATTGATTTACTTTTTCTCCTTTGTTTCACTTGCTTTAATTCTTTCATTTAGAAACTCTGTGACATTCTCCTTTAGTAAGTAATAAATTAAATACATGTCACTAGCATCATTACTGAGAAAAAGGCAGAGCATTTACACCATGTAGCTGTAATTATCCAATGTTCTCTCTTTCTCAATCTTTCTCTCCAACTCACCTTATTACGGCAAACAAAATGAGCCTGTGCCACTCATGTTTGACATCTCTATACGTGAAATATCTTTTGGAGACAAAGAGGTCTCTCTTTTTATTGCCTGGATGTGTGCTTGTGGGTGGAAGCCCTATTGTATGTCCTTGCACAATCGCTTGTGTAGGCCCTGTACTCTGTGACATTATCCGCTTTAGTGAACTCTGAGCTGAGACTTAGTCAGAGGATTGATTTCTCTGCTTTATATCCTTCATATCCACCATACTGCCAGGCAACTTTTGCCCACCTTTGGCACACGACGCTATAGGCAGCCGACCTGTACTGTCACCTCATTTCAGGGAAGTGATTGATTTGAGCGCTTAATGGATGTATTTACAACGGAGCTGTGTATTTGCAGTTCACATGGCTCACAACTCTTTCTCACACAGTGTAATACCGGAATGGAGGCGTTATCAATGGAGCTTCTTGAGGTGTTGCAGCTCGCCTTGGCTGAAGAACAAAGACGACATACTTTTTGTCCCGCTTTTGTCATATTTAGAAGTACATCAGTTCACTGTCAATTTATAGAAGTTGAAGTTAGTCTTTCTTTACTTTCTTCTTGCACTTTATATCTAAGCCTTTGATTTAGAGGGATGATTCTCTGGGCTCAGCTTAGGGGACAGAGGGTATCATAAATGTGACAGCAGAAACCAACTCATCTCAAAGCTAGCAACAATTGATGGACAAAATATTAATCTGCAACTATTTGGTCTTTGGCAAAATCAACCTACAGTATTCATTTCACCTGTTTTCTGTGTCATTACTATCAGTTGCTTGTAAAATGGAAATGCATATGCCATGCACCTCGCTTTAGCGTCTGTGGGGATCGGCGCTAGCACGGCTGATGCAGTTATACCAGAATTAGCTAATGTGCTAACCTTCCGCTTTACCTCCGCGTATCTCTCTATCATTAGCGCCTTCATCTCCCATGAGGGCTGTTGAAAGGAACGATGCACTCATCCCCATCCAGGAAGAATAGAAAGAATAGAATAGGTGCCGTACAGCTGACACTGAAACTGCTAAAGGGCCTGATGAAGTAGATAAACATACTAAACACAGCCAGGGATTTCGCGTCTCATTTTTAGACAAATTAATAGTAGCCCATACATCTTGCACAGCTTTATAACACTGAAGTAGGTTATTTGGGGACAGGGTCTTTCAAGAGAAACATCAAATATGTTTCCTTATCTTTTGTTGCCTGAAGGTGATTTTTTATTATCCATCGTTCATCCCCGGTCACCTAAACTTCTTTATTTTCTCAACCTCCAGATGTGATTGGAACTCTACTCTAAGGCATGGGTTATCAAAAGGTTAACTCCAAGTACTTGAGTTCAATACCTTATGTATTGTTTATATTATTGTGGCTGTTTTTTCTTACAGTATTTCATGCACATATTTCATAGTTCTGACATGAAGAGCTGTCTTTTCCACAACTCTTCTTCACACCTACTCTCAGCAGACGTGAGTATCTTGTTCAGGGTAACCTTGGCAGTAGTTTCTGCTGACAAAAAAGTCAGCGAGTTGAGCTCAGTCTGCTCGCACCTCAGTTTAGTGCAGTCAGTGTAGTCAAATATGCTTTTTATTTCAATAAACAAAATGTACATTAAAAACAAATCTAGAAGGTGATTTGTTTGCATTCTTTAGGAGGGATCAAAATCAAGACCACATGTCAAATGATGTAATCTTCTTTGTGGCATTATTTATGCTCATGTGCACGTTTGGGCAAACCCTCATTTTTTCCACAAGTTAGATATAGTACAGTTTTGTGGCACTGTTTACTTGTGTTTGCCGTTACTTACATGGCTATTTGCCGTTTGGTTCATACAGTTTTTCTTCTGTGCTCTCATGTGTTTCTATGTGAATACACCTGCTTTGTTGTTTAAACCAATTATTTCAGCATTTTCAACATGTTGCTGCTCTCCTGGGCACCACTCATTCATCAGCACAGACTATTTTTCTCTCCTCTCCCTTTACTTTGGCCATTTGCTCTCAATCACACAGGCAACAGTTCACAGTTGCACCTGTTGCTGTGAAATAGTTTAGGGCTTCATGGGAAATGGATTTGATGAGAGAAAATGCCGTCAGCGCTGCTAAGAGGCATGGTGACCTCGTCTGCCAGTGAAGTAGCCACTCTCCTCTCACTCCCATCTGCAGCTGTTAATGTCGTTGAAAAGAGACGTGCAGCGCTTCCAGGGTCCTGGTTGGCATTAGCTGGATTGACTTAATAAGCAGCCATTTTATTGAAAAATACATGATCTTCCTGAAGTTAACCTTCATTATGCAGGATAAGTCGTAATTTCTGGAAGCTACTGTGACTACAGACAGTGTCAGGGTGGACAGGACTCTTCTCCTCTGCAGTGTTGTCACTTGCAGAGAATAGTGGGTGATGATCACATTAATTGGAGCATTTTTCTTTATTTGTTGTACTTTTATTTTAAATTATGGAGAGTTCTGTAGATATTAAAAGCCACAGTAAATAAAAGCTGGTGAAGAGTACAAATCTGATAAATAATAAATAAATAAGAATAAAACAGGAAAAAAATGAATAGAATCAACACTTAGATGTTTTCATCTGACAAGCTTTAAACATGGACAATAGACCCCAATCCTCAGTAATCACACATCACACAAAGGTAGCATTATACTAAATTTTAACACTTAAAAAAGAATATGATAGTCATTACTGAATTTGAATGGCCAGACATTATAGACAATGAACTCCAGTTTACACACATTAGACAGGAATCATCTGCATTTACATTGAGGCACAGAGGACAGTGTGTGATTTTGCTAACTTTTTTTTCCACTTAAGTCAACAACCTGATGAAGTTTATGAGCATCTGACCTACACATGCACTGCTTTCCCTCTCCAGGGCATGATGAGCTGTCTTTCACACAAACGGGTCAAGTCACATTTTCACGATAGTAAAGAGTGAGCTGGCTGTTCAGTGTGGAACTCAACAGAAAATGTCTTTGTGAAGAGGAAAAAATACATTTCTCTTGATAATGCATATGGATGACTGAGAGTCAACAGGAACATTTTGGAACAGTGAAGTCCTACTTACTGCACCATCAGAGCACAAAAAATGATGCGTAGGAAGCAATCCTGGTTTCCTGTGTGTCTGAACCGTTTGGTTTGCAGCACCAGGAAGCAGGCAGACAGAGGCCGACCGTCTTCAGTCTTGTCGGCAGTCTAAACTGGACTAACTGTCTGACAGGTGATGACAAGCAGCAGCAGCAACACTAAACTGACATGCTGTCATGCAGTCATTTCCCTGGATATGGGTTTGTGAAAACCTGCTGCCTGCCTTCATCTGCGGGAAATCAGAGTCTCCTTTATTTTGGTGGGGGAGGAAGTCGATGGCAGAGCATTGGAAAAGAAATGCTTTGCTTCTGTGTTCCTTCTTTCTGTCAGCCTTGCCTGGCTGGTTTTTATTGTTCATCTTAAAAAAGCTTTCATTTTTCATTGGTGTATTGACTCTAAAGCACCAGGGAACTCTTATTAAAAAATACCTCAGAAGTGGATTTTATTATTACTAAATGTTTTACAGCTTCACTGTATCTCATAGTCTGAGGTTGTAAAGAAATGTCCTTTTGATACACAACTAAATTATCTTCTTTGTCAGTGACAGAGCAGCAAAATGACTTTTTCATCTCCCAGCCACAGCTGCTTGTAAATCACCAAACTCAAAGCTGCTTTCACAAGTTTTTCAGGGTTTACCTGGCAAAATGTTAAAAAGCAAAATAGTTATTTTTAACTTTTACCTCCCCCAGAAAAAGTCACACAGGCATGGATGCTTTCCTAATATTGGCACTCGCCCACAAATTCAAAGAAATGTAAAAATGTCCTCTTTGTCCTCTCCAGGTGCCATCCTCGGACGCTCGGAGACTCAGGAGTGCGTGTACTACAACTCCAGCTGGGAGAAGGAGCGCACCAACCGCAGTGGCATCGAGCCCTGCTATGGCGAGAAAGACAAGCGGCGGCACTGCTTCGCCACGTGGAAGAACGTCTCCGGCACCGTGGAGGTCGTCAAGCAAGGCTGCTGGCTGGACGACGTCAACTGCTACGACAGGTAAACACAGACAGCCAGAAATAAACCTGAAAAAAGACTAGAACATCACCAAAACGTTTTACACCTTTTAAAAGTACTAGGAGTGTCCTCATTTTAGTTTTTAGTTTCCTTTTTCATCATGTAACCCAAAACATATAGCATCCTTTTAAGTCAGAAATAAACTATTTTTTGTGTATTCCTTAGTGTCTTTTTAAATTTAATTCCAAGCAGCATTTAAAGTTTTACATTTGGCTTACAGCGACCTGCAAATACCCTTTTGCATTGAAAACATATCAACTCTGCTGATTATTTTAAGTTTGTGGTGTCATCTCAACATACTGATGGTTCAAATTTGTAGCTAAGAACCAGTAGAATAAACTGCATCCTCCAACTTTGGGAGATAAAAGAAATCAAAGACTACCAATTAATGACCAATTCAGTCATCCATTCCTTGCGAAAATTAAGAGTTTTATTTATCAATCCATTTATTTTTAATCATAGAACACATCCTTCCCAAAAACCTGAACATTGATTTTAGACAAAAAGCAGCAGCACTGGTCGCTTACTAAAGACAAAGCCAGCACATCATTAGGAAGGCTCAACTGTAAATAGATCTAAAATCACCTTGAGCACAGTCTTTGTCCCTCTGTGTGCTTCCCCATCTGAACGACTTGCACAAGGCCACATTTTTAATTACTGCAGACAGATGAAATTTAAATTGATGTGTGATTCTCAAACCAAGTGTCCAAACCCAGATCAGTAAGCAGGTATTAATAGATGGTATTATTATAGTTCCTTCCCTGCTTGAACATCAAGCTGGCATCAGATGCTGGTTTGAGCCAGTTCTGCCAGAGTCTCCCTTTGATTCCTGAGCGATGAAGTCGCTGTAGATTCTGCAGCCCGCACAGTTTGGGTACCTCTGCTCAGCCGGCGCCGCCTCGCCTCCCTCGAGAGTCCAGAGCAAGTCGAGGGCGGCTGCCGTTTCCTTTGGCTTTTATCTGATGACTGTGAGTGTGAAAGAGAGAGTGAGTGTGTATGTGTGTGATTGTTAGTGTACATGTGTGTTTGTTTGCATGTCTGCATATTGGCGTGTGTAGGAGTTATTTTATAAATGTTTTTCTTTCATGTCCTCTGCGGCAGCAAGGGAATGGAGAGGAAGGAGAGGAGTGTATGTTTGTGTGTATTTGTGTGTACAGTCCAGAAGTGTGTGTTTGTGTGTGTTCCTGCTTTTTAGAAAACAACACATCTTTTGCAGTGTGTGCATGGAGAAGTGTGTGAGCTTAATTTGTGCACAAATGTGTTTTTTTTTTTTTTTTTTTTTTTTTTGTCTGTGTGCACATGCAGAGGATGTGTGAGTTCGAAAGCGTGCAGTTTCTCTCACTTTAAAAATTAAATTGCTTTAATGTTCTTTGCAGTAAGAGGACAGAGAGGACTGGTGTGTGTATGTGTGAATGAAAGATAGTTTTTCAATTTCCACCTCCATATCTTCTGCAGTAACGAGTGTGTGGAGAGGAAGGAGAGCCCCGATGTTTTCTTCTGCTGCTGTGAAGGCAACATGTGCAACGAGAGGTTCCTGTACACCCCTGAAGCGCCGCCACAGAGCGACCCACACCATTCAACTGCATATAGTATGTACAGTCCAATATACACACACACACACACACACACACACAAACATCCAGTGTTTACACCAGGTTTCTATTGCAGCCACACCTTGATTGTCTTATATATGTATTTAGGTTTGTTCACTCAATTACAGGTGAACCAGGTACTTGTAAATATGTGTAGTCAATTACATCTAAATTTAAATGTATATTTAACTTTATTTCTTACCTTGGGCAGAACACCCAGGCTTTTACTTTGAAGACCGACAGTAGTCCAGTGCAGAGTGTGTGATGTAAGACACTTGTGCTCTGGACCGCTGCCAGCTACTGAGCCTCTGAGCCTGAGGTGTTCAGGTCTTAAAAAATATTTAAGGATTTTAGGAAGGACAACAAGAGTAACACAGTCCAGGTTTGAGAGACGCTGTGCTTTATTTTGGTAAGAGTTGAAATGTCCTCATGTGAAGAGCAAAATGCTGCATGAAGCCTCATACAGATTTTGCTAAAGTGTTCGCTTGGAGGCTACAATTACATAATATAGTTAAACCTAAAGTTTTAGCATGCAGTCTGCTTATGTATAATCCAAACCACTCCAGATAGTCTGCGCTAAAGAGTTAGCATGGAGCCCTTTATCACTCAATATAGTGTTTGCCTCACTTTATTTAACCTGTGTTTAACTAGCTAAGAGGTTGGAAGCCTCTTTTACAAAGGAGTCCTGACAACACAGCAGCATCAAAGGTTGCAGATAAAACAAAACAAAATCAGGCAACAGATACAATAATACTAGAAGACAGATTGCGATACTGAGAAGACTGAAATAAGCTGACAAAGACAGTTAGCACAGTAATAAGTCTTTATTTATTACAGTAATGGGACTCTTGCGGTGTTACTCATGATACAGATTTGACGATGGTGTCCTTAAATTGTCCAACAGGCCAGTTTGTCTGTTTTTATTCCTTTAAATTTGACTTTCTGAAACCTGCAGACACCCTGTAGAGAAAAACTTTCCACAATGTCTCTGACAAACACCCCAAGAGTTCCATGTTGCAGCTGGTGCAGCCCCATCGGCCCCTACCCCTTCCTTTCCTCCCTCCTGCTCTTCCAATCCCCACCCTGAGGACAGCAGGGGTGTTCGGCGTCCGAGTGTCGGCGCTTTGACAGCGCTGCCGAATCAGACTGTCACACCTTGTGATGGGAGGACAGGCTGAGCCAGCAGGCGTCACCAAGCGACTCCTGCAGGGGTCGCACACAGTTCAGAGCTCTGTTATTTTTGGCAGGCGGATTACGTTATGTCACGAGATGGATTTGCTAATCCTGCTGCGTGTGAGTGTGTGTGTGTGTGTGTTTGTGTTTGTGTGTGTTTGTGTTTGTGTGTGCATGCGTGCGTGCGTGCGTGAGTGCATTGATATGATCCCTAAGCACAGTGGCAGTAAGCTGTAAGCAGGGTTAGTGCTGCACTTAGAGATGATGTAGCACAATGTCAAGCCAATCAGGCGTGCTGTTCGCTCTCTTTCTTTTCTCTCTCTCTTTCTTTGTACTTACTGTGTTCTCCCTGACAGCGTCCACCATTTTTGATATTTAATTGCTTTATTTTTGTCACCATGCAGATCACAAAAGCCAGTTCAGAGTCTTGTTAACGTTTCCTCTTCTTTCCACTGCCCTCTCTGTTTCCTCCCCACAGCCACCTCCAACCCATTTTCCCAGAAGCCCCAGCTCTTCAGCACTCTCCTGTACTCCCTGGTTCCCATCATAGGCCTGGCCGCCGTTGTCCTCTTCTCTTTCTGGATGTGGAGACATCACAAACTGGCCTACCCCGCCGCCCTCGTCCCCACACATGTAAGTCTCAGCAGGTTGAGGAAATGAAAACCAGATGAAACAATCTCTCAAACCCTCCTTTACTCTGACAGAAGTCTGATCCATGACCACCTCTTTGTTTTCTTGTCTTCATCTTTCGTCCATAACGCTCATCACTGTAGTGTGTTTCAAGGTGTCACCTTTCTTTGAAGTCGCTGTTGATGCAGTTAGTTTCTCTTCTTGTCTGTTCATCCATGGTGACCATTGTCTCCCACTTCATCTGTTAATTGTAAACAAAGAGGAAACTTATTCGGCACGGCAAATGATTTCTTTCCTTGAAACACATGTATTGCAAACACAAAAGGTGGAGATAAACAGAAAAATAACTAATGTAGTTCAAAGTTACCTGCCTAAAATGCAGAATGGTGTTTGCTGAAGGATCGCTATGAACCAAATGCTACATACAGCAAGCAGGTTAATAAAGTCTAAGATCATTTTTTGCAGAAAATGTCTGACTCAGCTCCGGTCGATTTTGTTGATACTTATTTCCCACATGAGTCAATGCACATTATGTGCTCCCATAAAACATCTTGTGTATTGTTTGAAGTTTGTAGCATTATACATTAAAAACACTTCTCTGCCCTCTCTATTTAACCAACCTTCAACATCACCGCTGATCTAGTTTCTCAGTGGGCTGAAACAGCCTCGGCCCTGCCTGCCCTGTGCAGCAGAGGGACAGCTACGGTCAACCAGAAAGGACAAACTGTGCGGAGAATTTACTTTGGGATAATTGCTTTTTCAGTTTCTTCTGTCAGAGGTGTATTGTAGAGTAAGAGAGCCCTGGTTCTGGCTTTATCTTTTTCCATGAGTCTCTTTTTGAGCAAATGCATCTCAGATTTTCTTTTAATGCACCAGACTAGAGTCTGGATGAATTTAATTGGGATGGCTCATGTTGTGTCAGAGGGGCCTGGAATCATGCCTACATTTTAAGTGAATATTGTGCTATTCAGGTTAAAATGATTGTAGGCAAAACAGAGATATGATTCACATCTGATCATGTACACGTTCACCTTTCATCACTCTTTGCTTATTCACACAGTCCTTTCTTCTTTTCCTCTTCTGCCATGCTTTTACGTTGTTGCTTAGTTCTTTAATGTCTCCACTTGAATCAGCCGGATATATCACCTTTATAAAACCTTTCTCAAATCTCTGTTCTTGGAGTGATAGTAAGGCTGTTTATTTAAATTCTTGATTAATTGAGTTAACTCCAAGGCGGTTCTAACTCAACAGCAGTACAGCGATATTCTGTGCTGCTCGGCAGCAGGGGAAACAGAAAGCCCATGCAGAGCTTCCACCGTATGGAAGAGGAGTCAGGGGCCTCTGCATTATTGATGAGGCTTTACATAGGCAAACAAAACTAAACACAGAGACGCTTGCAGCTCTGCCTCGGAGGATGGTGGTGGTGGTGGTGGTGGGTGTGGTGGGTGGGTGGGAGGGTGGGTGAGTGTGGAGTGCGGGGGAGGGATTGAGGGGAGACATGCACTTCTCTCAACTTGGTTATTGTATTTGCACAGTGCTAAAACACAGTAGGGAAGAGATAAAAAGACACAATACAATCAGGAAACAAATGCTAATGTGCATTGGAAAAGCAACACCGCTAAGAGGCTTATGAAACATCTTACCTGGAAACACATGAATGAATAAATAAACAGCATAACAAAACAAGATCATGGCCAAAGAAGAGTAGATCAGATAACAAATGATGATGCAGTGGAAAAAAAACCAGCTAGAAGTCTGATAAAATCACAAAGGGAATAAAATGAAATGAAATAGCCAGGATGGAATAAGTGGAGTCATGTATACTCACATGTGTTTGTGTGCAGAAGTGTATTAGTGCATGAATGAGTAGTTGCGCAAGGACAGGGGAGGAAAAGGTGGTTAATTTGTAAATGAATATATTTCAAAGTTGCTCTGTGCTTTTCTAGACGCAGGTGATGCAGTAAACCCAACCTGCCTGCTGTTTGAAGGAAACTAAAACAAACAGATGTATATTGCAAGCACTATTTGATACACATACAGTTTCAGCCAGATTTTTCAATACATTAGATGGAGGAGTAGATGGATGGAAGCAGTGGGAGGGGAGATGTAGGGGGATTTTTTTTGTTGTTGTGTTGTGGAAGATTATGTTTTTGTGTTGCACCACAGGGTGTAAAAAAAAAAAAAAACAGGTGACTCTTAGAATCACTCAATAGCTCAGTCTTGCAAAATCATCAAGGGCAGATTCTAGCAATACTTAGACTGTTGAGAGTAAAAACACCACACACATACCTTCGGTTTCACCACAGGTTACTGTGGTGGGCTGTGGGACACCTGCCCAATGAAATCATAGTATATACGAAAGCATTTCAAGACAGTAAGATATCTGATATTTGAAATCATCATCCACTGTTTAAAAATGTCTTATTGCATGAATTCAAAACTAATCCAATGCTAAACGCACTGACACAAGAGTGATTGGTCATCCTGCTTTTAAACATATAAGCAGATTCCCCAAAATGTTGAGTTATTCCTTTTAAGCCACTCTCTATGTGATTGAGGCAGCCTCTTGGAATTTGCTGTGTTACATATCAACTTTCAGCAGCTATTCCAAACTTCAAATAAGAGAAGCTGCATCACAGCTTTGGTCCAAAAAAAGAAAAGAAAAAAAAGAAGCACTGATTGACTGGACTTTCATTTATGCTTTATCATGTTTGTTTCTCTGCTATACTTCATTCATCAGAGCATAATGCTCCTTGCTTAGGCATGTATTTTTAATTTGACTGTAACAGATTGCCCACACCTGTTGCTAGTTAGATTTTAAAGTGCCCTGTGTGGATGGGAAGTCATTATAATTGTTCATCAAAGGTGTTGGTGGTAATAGATGATGTTTTTTTTCCCTGTTCCCTAACAACATCCACAAGGCAGCTTCAATGATTGGTCTTTTAAAATGGAAGAGCCCTGCGCACATTTAATATAAATCTTTAATTAAAAGGAGCAGGAATGTGATTATGTCATAAACAAGTAGCAGCCATCTGAACAGAGCCAAAGACAAATACATAACATATACACTGCACTGATTTCTGCTTTTAAGCAAAGCAACGTCCTTAGCTTTAGGATACTACAGCACTGAAGCTTGAACTCCTTAAAAAACAGTTTTTTATGTTTATGATCCAGCAACTGAAGCTATTGTTGCACAAAGTGGAAATAAGCAGTGGGTTAAGATAAGCTAAAGGACTGAAGTTCAACCAGCATGCAGATAACTAAGTGCATACTGTAATTACTAATTTAGATTTATAAATCATATACACAGAAAAGTATCACCCCAAAATCTTTGATGCTTTATCACTGTCTGCATTCTCTGTATTTTCAACACTGAATGCAGTCGCATGTTTCTCTGCGGTGAATGAGTTCTCTTTGCAAGCTAATGAAACATGCAGTCTTCATGATGCAAAAGTAATTCTTCCCACCTAATGATCATTAATGGGCCCATTATCACGGCTCTCTAATTTTATGATGGGAAGGCGCTAAAGAAAGACAGAAGAAAGAAACTTTGCTGCACACTGTCATTATGTCACTGTGATCGTGGTCCATCATGGGCTGCATATTTGCCACCAAGCCTCCATTATTCACACCACAGTGCGAAGTGGAGGCAAACTGGAATTGATTCTGTCTGAGTACACAGACCCACAGCTTTCACACGGAGAGACCTGGAGCACTTAAACATAAGTCAGGGCATTTTTTTTTTTTCCAACCTGGACCCTATTTTCTCATCTTTATCCCTCTTACCGATCGAAACTGACCAAAGTCTCAGCACCTGCTTTATTATGGAGCTACTAACGTCTTGTTTGTCTGGGTGTAGCTTTCCAAAGAAGTCGTGTTGGACTCCACATATCATCAAGATCCCCCAAAACCACGCTATTTTTCCAAACTTTGGCAGATGTTGTTAAAGACAGTGAAATTATATGACATATAAATGATTTTTTTTTCTCTCCCAACAGTTTTATGTTGTTTTCTTTCCACACAGAGCAATGGACTTTCATTTGCTGTCCTCTAGCATTTTGTTTGGGTATTTTTTGATATCAGAAATGTGTTTACCACTTCTTTTTTTAATCATTTTTTTCTTTACATAGTTCCCAATTTAAATTGAAATATCAACATCTTTAGATACATTTTTTCTTTTAGATAGAATTCCCATAAGAATCCTTGTTTTTTAAAGTTTGAGCTTTTAGCATCTTCGGTCATATGTGAAATGATTTTTTCTGTGTCTTGTTTTGTACAGTCTGCATTAATCTCCTCAGTTGAGGGGCTTTCATTCACTTTCGAAACCCAACATTTCGGTGTCTTCCGTGATTTTTGTGGGTACACTGGAACTGTTTCATGCATCCGTCGTTGTGAACTTTGCATTCATGTGTATTTGGTTTTACTGTGATCTAGGAACAAAGTTTTTTTTTTTTTTGTTCCTTTTCCACATTGTTCAGTCAATTTTCAGTTTCTTTGCTTCAGAGCATCATTTAAGTTCATAAAATGAACCATGTTGCCTTTGGTGCAATGCTTATTAACAGACAGCCCCGTGGCTCTTCATGTGTCTCAAACCATAGCTTTGGAAGCGCTGGTCTGGAGTACGAGGGGGAACAAAAGCTTGTTCAGGGACAACCCATCATCTCCGACCTTTTTTCAGCCTCTATTTCTTCCACTAACTGACAGAAAATAGCAATAATTTCTCTGTTTGCTTCTTATGTTCCTTTTCAACAAGCACGCCTTTCACATTATGGTAGAGGTAAGAGCAGTTTAACTGAAGTTGAAACACTATTAGTTTTCCCCCCTTTTTGGGTTCAGAGCTTGGTATGAATTCTCCACCTCAATCTCAGACCACCATTTTGTTCTTGTCTTTGCTTTTTCGACAGCATCTTGTTTACTCAGTTTGTAACACATTTCTGTCTGTTTTTTTTTTTTGCCTGGGTTTATTGCATGGATGGATGTCTTTTGTGCTCCCTGCTGAAAAT